GGCAGCAGCAAGCATGACTAGTCTCGATCCATTGTCATTGGTCTCTCATAAGCATAAGCCTGCCGAGGCCGTTGATCGGATCCCTTGCGAGATCTGAACCTAGCCGTTGAAGTCACCGCAGACAATTTCCGGACGTTCTAGTCTCACCACTTCTTCGACAAAATCTCAAAACTCATCCTTTTGACCTGCGGCGCTACCTCTGTGGGAGCGTAGCACACACCAATGGTTTTGCCACTGTTCAGCGTGGTATGAGCTATTCTATTTGAAACAGATACCCATGACTGAACCCTGACATTGGGATGGAATAGGAAACCCACTCCACCGATTCCGCGTAGAGCAGGAGAGCTGTAGAGGATGTGATCCCCTAGCGATTCTCTTTGCACTTCCTCTCGTAGTCGAGTTTCCTGTAGGGCGATTATTGGGACATCACTCCCGATCGCCTTCAAGGACTCAACGACTGCCAACCTGTTGCCGTATCCTAATAGAGAACGTACGTTCCAGGTGTACATGCGTATCACACTGGGGTCTACGTCCCTACGGAAGTAGGGTGAATCCATCCTGGTGGATCCACCACTATGAAGACTGTAGTTCGCAGTAACTGAGGGTGTCCTACGCCTCTCAGAACTATCGCGATGTGCCCGGGACGCTGGCGCTTGAGTCGACGTCTGGCAGCTCTTGCCGCCCGATGCCTCCTCAGGGCGTCTTGTGATCGCGTCCGACGGCGTCGTCCTGTCCGCTTGCTGTCAAAAATGAACTCAAACGATCTCGGTGGGACAGGACAAATAGAGAGAGTAGTTACATTGCACGTATTCAAGACAAATAGATACGCAGGTGCAAATGCCGCACAGAAGCAAAGAAGCATCAGCATTCTGCCTCCCATAGCATCCCGCCCAGCAGCTCTCCGGGCGGTCCGCAGACTGCCGAGGATCATTACAGCTGGGCTGTGGAGAGACTGCGGGAGCCTTACGCGCAGGCTAAGGATCAACAAAGCGGTCATCAATGGCGTCGCCATCGATATTAGCGGCCTTCGCGAGGTTGAAGATACATGCTGCACATTAATGGAACTATCACTCCGCAGGATAATTTTATTGACCTTGGGGTCCTCCGAAGGGGTCCTCATCAATAATCTCGCGAGCTCCACGCTCAACCAGCGCGTAGAGCTCCAGCCTCGGTATGGGCCAGCTCTCATGTCCAACATCGTAGAGACCACCCCGTGCGTACAATCGCGTGCCATCGATGTCCGTAACGGTGCAAGAATAGCCTACAAGAGCTGCATAGCAGGCAACCACCAGCGTGTCCCCCTGCACGTAGAGAGGGTCGTTCATGGTCTTCCCAGCACGCACAGCCGCACGCATCAACAATCTACAAGCCCTGGCATCCTCTAGGTATAGACCCAAGGGGTCGAAGTGAGAATTTAGCCATGATATATAGGATCGCAACGTTATAGAGCGTGCATCTCCTCGAGGCCTTGCCCTCCAAGGGAGGAGCAGGAACGATTCAAGACATCTTCTTTCGGATCTTACTGAACACCAGAGAGGGTGGCAGTT